TAATTAGTTGTACAACATTAATTAATTAAATATAAATATAAATATATGTACGATAGGTATTTTGTTTCAATTAATTTTAGTTTTAGCTTCATTAAGCGAGCTACTATAATTAATTGGTTCACGGAAAACGGTCCATAAAAATTCAAATATTAAATAAAAAAATAAGAAAAAAGAAAAAGAATAGTTTCAATTTAGTTAATAGTAGCTAGGAAAGTGGGGTTCCATGACCTTGTTTAATGGGGTGTGTTGAAAAGTGCTTGGTTTTGGCTTTGTTGGTGGGGCAAATCTCAATTAGCATAATTGATTGAGAACCCCTTATTTTACATTTTTCTTTATCTTTTTTTTCCCCTACTTTTCAAGCGGTCAATGTTGCTTTCATTTGATTATTCCTCCTTTAAAGAGTATAATTATTTGTATGGGTGCCTATATATACAAATTCCATTAAGGGCTAGGATTTGGGGACCCATGATTTTCCATAGACTTAGACCTATATATCCCTTAAAATGTTAAAGCACCCAATAGTCGAAGCTACCCTTTGTATATCAAGTCGAAATTCCTTTTACAAGGGTAGATTCGTCATTTCATAGAGATGGATATGCCGGGTGCCAGGTTGTGACAAAGAGGTGAACCATTGATCATTGCTAAGTACTGTATAAAATCTCGAAAATAAGATTTGGTGGGTACGTATATTCCTAGTTCATTGGATTGCTTACATCAAAAGAAATTTGATTAGATTGGCTTAATTACTTTTAAGTCATTTCATTTTCTTTCTTTTTTTTTTTTTAATATCTCCGCATTACACCAATTGGGGGTAATTTATTTACTAATAATGTGTTACATGTGACTAGACACAAACAAAAAGAAAGTATGAGGTGCAGAATTTTAAAATGAAAAGGATTAAAAAAATGAAAAAAAAACCATTAATTTATTTGGTGAAAGTGGCGGATATAGTTAAGCCACAAAATGTGTAGGAGATTCTTATGGATTCTTCTGCTCTATTGGAATTGATTTGATTTCTTTTAGTTATATACTCTTTTAGATTAGGCAACTTGTAGCAATTAAAAAATACCTTTTAAATTTTAATAGTAATAAAATAAAAAGAAGATTAGCATACAAGCAAAGTGAATTAGCATATATAATAATATGTCATCGGCATTAAACCCGGTTTGATAAGTACAATAACAGCTAGCAATCAAGGCAAACTATGTGCTTTCAGTTAAACTTAGTGAAGAAATAATATGTGGAGTTCATGTAAAAATTACTCAAATTTCCATGTTTGGCACAAAAAATGGAAATTTAAATCATATGGAAATACTTTTCCAATGATTAAGCAGACTTTTGTGATGTGGGTAAAAATTTATGCGTTGATTGGGGCACTGAAATTGGGTTTTCCCATGATTCATGAATTCTCCTTTTGAAAATTTAGAAGAATAATTCAAAAATGATTATAGTCGAGGGCCAAACGAATGCTAAATTAGACATGGACAAGAGATTGAAAGGGGTGAGTATTATAATGGTTTGTTTGTGCATAAAAGAGAAGGAAGAAAAAAAAAGGGAGGGCCCTTTTGTTCTCATAATCTAACCATCAGAATATCATATTTAATTTGAAAACAAAGTTTCGTGACTTGGAATTTAAGGACAAAATGTGTATCATGAGGGTCAAATTCTTTAATCATGAGCTCACTTTTTGAAAGTTAAAAATTAAAATAAAACAAAAAAGCCATGAAAGCTTCATGTCCTCACATGGGGCAGAAGCAACCAGCAGACGTAACAAGGAGAAGCTTTCAATATTATATTCTAAAAAGACTGCCAACCATTGCCACTAATTTCCCCCTTTTTTTTTTTGACTTGTTTGGTTTATGGGAAAAAGTGGGATACTAGTAGTTGGTTTTTCCTCGAAGACATTGCTTCTGGTTTGCTCAACTTGTTAGGATGCGATGCTTAATATTCTTTGCTGGAAGTCAATAATTCTCTTTATGTGGGTTCTTTTTCTTTTCTTTTTACTATTACTTTATGTCCTTCGGATTTGAGTCACAACAACTCTGAAGCTTGACATCTATGCTTTTAAATCTATGACTCAGGGCATCTTTCCAGCTGAGATATGTCAGTCATTTCTTGCTAAAGCCGATTGTAAAGATTAATGTCTTCGTTTATCAGTACAACAACCAACATATCTTATTTTGCGTACAACCACAGACCAAAAAGTTTTTGTTGGGAGAAACTGGAGAAGATATTGAGTTTTGGAAGGTGGTAAAATCAATCAAAAGTTATGCAGATTATATGTTCACATTCAGCTTCATGTTATTTAGGCCTTCACTGTATAAATGCCAATGCATTGGAAGCTTCTCCATTGACAGATTAATCTTGAAAAGACAAGGCCCACAAATTTTGTGTTGGGAGTTACTTAAGATAGCATATGGGTGTTTAGAGATGGAACAATATCTGTCTGGCCCTTGCAGCTGCAGAAGGAGACCAGTTCCAGCAGGGTTTGCTGGTCTTGAATTAACAGATTGAACTTGAGATGGACTGAGTCATTCAAGATGTTCAGAAAATGATCATTTCACATTTTACTGTCAACAGAATGTAATTATGCAATATTCTTCTGTCTTCTTGAGAAACTAATATCCATCTAGTTTGGTCATTGGTCACAAACAGTTTCGGGGCCACACGTGAAGGTCATTCTTCTTTGGAGATACTGATGATTTTCGACTATGATGAAAGGTTTGAAGTATCATGTAAATCTTTCTTTCATGTTTTCCTGATATTCTGTAGTTTTATGAGCTGTGAGTAACTGTGAATACTACTCTCGGCAAGCAGACTGGCTTTCGAACGCGATTGAGACAAAAGAGGATGCATTAAACAACACCCTCACTAACACGACCTATCTGTATCACCATATTTTTGTCTTCAGGAGCATAATAAGCCCAACATTTTTGACTCGTTGTAGTTTAGTGTTGGTAGGTTGCCTTGGGTTTCAACACCCTAGGATTACCACGAGAGGGAGCAGAATCTCTATCTAGTTTAAATGTGACAGGACGCAGGAGCACTTTCAAGAGTTTCAACAGAGTGGTCATTTAGCAACGACCTTACCTGACAATTTTGATGATGTGACCTTGTTTTCAGGTTCGGGGGTTTTATCGGCATCGGACAGGAAAACAGCAAGGGAATTAACCTAAATATGAATAATGGAACCCGAGAATAAAGCCCAACTAGGGAATAAGTAGAATCAAGTACTGCTGCTTTCCTCGTAAATGGTACAGTACGTTCTTTCACTTTCTTAAGGAATTCCACAGAAGATGTGGTGGATTCTGATTTATGACTTCGTTTTCTTCAAGGTAGACGTCAATAACGGTCGGGGGAAAAACTGGATTGATGGCTAATTACGTTTCTGTATAAAACAAATGAACAAATACAGAGAAAGTGCGGCTGTGTAGTCTTTGGAGCATTGAAGGCTGTATCCTACATATATCAGATGAACAAAGTTTCTAATGGTCTCTATTCAAACAAGTCAATACCCGGAAATTAAAATGGCTTGATGAAAATATCACCAACAGGGAAAGTAGGGGAGACAAAATTCTACCTAAATCTCATAATTCTTCCATGGACTAAAAAGCTTTTGACTGTTTCCTGGCAAACTCTGAGGTGAAAGTAATCCCCCAGACAAGACAACAGCTTAATCTTAAGTTTCGAATGCTCCCAACATTTTACAGTAACACCAACGCTCCGTGCTGCCTCTTAATCGGCGGGGCGGGGTCTGCAGGTAATTGGTAATCATGAAAGATGAACTCGTCAATAAATCCATCATCTGCTAATTAATTCAGGACTGTGGGGGTTTTTAGTCAATGGAAAACTGACAATGAATCTAACAAGAGAAACCAGAAAGCAAAGCAGCCAAAAGAACAGAAACTAAAATAATAACTGTCAATGGTATCCAGGAATCATGACTTCGTTTCATCGAAGAAATCAAGAATGATTTTGAAAAACCTCTCAAGCCCAAGTGCAACCGACAAGAAGATCAAATGTGGAAAAGCTTGAGAAATATCTAGCAATTTGAAAGTGACTGAAAGCTAAATGTCTAACTATAAGTGGAGGCACCTACAAGTATGAGATCTTTAGCGGTGAAGCTCAAGAATCAGGTTTTATTCATGAATACGCCTTTTTAGTCAACAATCGAAACCCACACTCTAACCGCTTTCATAAAATCTTTCAAAATAGGTTATCATGTGAAAAATTGAATCGTTTCTCATCAATTTACCCAAGTTGAAAGCTGTCTTACATCAAAGCTGAATGCATGACAAGTGACAACATTAAAAACCGAAAGTCCAGCCAACTAAACAAAGATGAAGACAAAGCTGGGAGCACCCAGCAGCAATTTAGTCAAACAGATGAATTTCTCTCACTCTCATTTCATTGCCGTGAGCTATATGTGTGGGGCTGTGAAAGCAATGCTCAGCGATGCAGTATCATTCCTTTTGTTAATTGCTGCGGCAGTGGTACCGCCATTATTCTTTTACAGCAACCTTCAGATTCAGAATTGCAGTGCTAGTTAAGGACATGGCTTTCATTGAAGATGAAGAGTTTATGCCGAAAAGATCCGTTTGATCACTCCATTACTAGCTGGAGAAGAAAATGCATGAACTAGAAATAGATAAGAGAACCCAAATTCAGAAATTCAAAGTAGTGTTGGTGCATTTGATTTTGGGACCTTGGCATATCGTTTGTGGGGTGTTATGAGGGGCAGACATAAACATATTGGACATGAGCTCCACTTCCGAGTAGTGATATGTCTTCCGAGCAAAAACCATACGAATATTTTAAACTTCATCTTTAAGCAAAGGCTCGTAAAGTGGAAGCTCTAACTGAATAGGGAACTTTCTTGGGCCGCCACCACAACAACCCATAAAATAAAATAAAAAAACAAATGGTTTTGTGAAACGTGTCAAGTTTTTAACTGGTCCACGTATCTCATTTGAAAACCACAACCTTCTACTGTTTCTGGTTGGCTGCTTCCCTCCAATTTCTCTTCTTCCTCAAACCCCCGCCTTGTTAACCTGTGCCCTCCCCTCTCTGGCGCACTGTAGTAAACGCCGTTCGCTTCGCTCTCTCTTCACCCTCTTCATGGCTTGTCTATCTTCACCATCAACCGACCCAAAATCTCTACCCCTGGGTCGGATCCAGGTCCTGAAGGAAGGGTCACAGTCATTGAAAAAAGGTCCCGTGGTGTACTGGATGTTTAGAGATCAACGGTTAAAAGACAACTGGGCTTTGATACACGCCGTTGATCAAGCCAACAAGGCAAATGTGCCTGTGTCTATAGCTTTCAATCTTTTTGATCAATTCTTGGGGGCTAAAGCAAGGCAACTAGGGTTCATGTTGAAAGGTTTAAGCGAACTGCAAAGAAGTATTCAAGACATTCTTCAGATACCCTTTTTTTTCTTTCAAGTAAGGTTTTTTTTTTTTGTATGCATTTGAAGATAACCTCTTTATTGTATTTGCATTTTTAACTCTTTTTCCTTTGGGTTTTACAATTATGGTCGTTTTTAGAAGAAAGTGTTCACAAAGAAGAAACTCTTATTAGAACTATGGGTACCGATTTGTTTGAATGTTCAAGGAAAAGGTGAAATTTTGAAAGTTATATTTGTTAAATTATGCTATTAATCTTGTTTAGTTTGTGTAGGGATTGTTCATTGAATGAAACTTACGAAAAATTGTCTGAAATGGATGACTTTATTAGCATTGTTCTTGCGTAATGAGAATAGAAGCCTGTGAAATTCTCTGTTTTTCTGCTGGGTACCAAAACTTAGCTGTTTATATATGCTGGATTTTTAGGGAGAGGCTGAAGAAACAATACCGAAGTTTCTTGAAGAATGTGGGGCGTCACTTTTAGTTACAGATTTCTCACCGTTAAGGCAGATTCGAAAATGTAAAGATAAAATTTGTGAGAAGGTGAGTGATTCAGTGACCGTACATGAGGTTGATGCCCACAATATAGTTCCTGTTTGGGTTGCATCACAGAAGTTGGAGTATAGTGCAAAGACGATAAGGGGTAAAATAAATAAACTGCTTCCCGAGTACTTAACTGACTTTCCTACATTGCAACCACCAAACAAGAAATGGGATGCAATGAATCAGTTGATTGATTGGGACAGTCTCATTGCCGATGTTTTGAGGTCAGATATTTTATCTATATGTGGGTGGAATTGAGTTGAGATTGTTTGGGTTTGTAATGCTGATTTTCCTGTGACTAGGAAAGGGGCAGAAGTACCTGAAATTGAATGGTGTGAACCAGGAGAAATTGCAGCAATGGAAGTATTGATGGGAACCAAAGATGGATTCTTGACAAAAAGGTTGAAGAATTATTCTACAGATCGGAATATTCCTTTAAAACCCAGAGCTCTCTCTTGTCTGTCACCATATCTTCATTTTGGGCAGATTTCTGGACAGAGATGTGCCTTAGAGGCACGTAGATTTCGAAAACTTCATGCTCAGGTTTGTTGCAGTTGAATCTCAAATCATCCTGTGGCTTTGTTTCGCTAGTTGTTTGTTATATCTGATCTGTGGTTTAATTTTTCATCTACTTACTACTCTGAAGGCAGTTGATACCTTTCTAGAGGAGTTAATCATTCGCAGAGAACTTGCTGATAACTTTTGCTATTATCAGCCTCATTATGATTCATTAGAGGGGGCGTGGGAATGGGCACGTAAGACCTTGATGGACCATGCCTCTGATAAACGAGAACATGTTTACACGTGAGTGGTATTCTGTGTAGTGCAATATTGTCCCTATTTTGCTAAGTGAAGCTCAAATGCCTGTTGAATGTGTAGGATGGAGCAATTGGAAAAGGCACAAACATCTGATCCTGTAAGCAAATTGTTGGTGAAATTTTGAATTACATGGTTCACTTTGAAAGTTTCCATATATATATATATATATATATATATTGCGGAACATTTTTTTGGCGTTATGAGATGATGCATGAAGTGAACTTCAACTAAGCTAGCTTTGCTCATCCCTGTTGTCATATCTAATTTTTTGTTTATTGTATCACAACCTTCAGCTCTGGAATTCTTCGCAGCTGGAGATGGTTCACTTCGGAAAGATGCATGGTTTTATGCGGCAAGTGACTTCACAATGAATTTAACATTTTCTTCTTTTCAAGTTGAGAATGTTGTTTGCATTCTTGCTTTCTGTTATTTGACATGGATAAGGGTTGGCAATGAATCCAATAATAAGATAAAACTGGAAGGCACTACAAAATCAGTCAATTGGCTGGATAAATTTTGAGGGAAGCAGATTAGAGGAGTAAACATGCAGCATATCCTGAAAATTAAACATCTTTAATGCATTCATTGTTATTTATAGGAATCAACAGCCACTTTTTTAGACTTAACATTTGTCTTTATGTTTTTCCTGGGTTTCTCAGTATGACTAAAGTAAGCATTGCTTGATTTATGTAGCTCATATTCTTTAAGCATTGTTGTTAATAATAATCCCCCTTGTTAAGAACTTCAAAATCATGAGCAGTATGTACTGGGCTAAGAAGATTCTTGAGTGGACAAAGGGACCTAAAGAGGCCATTGAAATATGCATTCACCTGAATGACAAGGTAAATCAAGTAAAATGCTATATTTTGCTAACAAGATGTTAGTACAAAAGTGCCATCTTCTTTATTGACATGAAACTCTTTATTGCAGTATGAAATAGATGGGAGAGATCCAAATGGTTATGTTGGTTGCATGTGGTCAATTTGTGGCGTGCATGACCAGGTTTGTCTTTATGGTTTTAGTTATGTGTCCTATCGTTGATTAGAGTATTATTATCATAGGTAAAGGTAGCTTTGGTTCTTTGGACAAGATTTCATTTGGTTCGGAAATATCAAAGCAATGCAGTTAAAAAGGCTTTAATGTAGATATGGAAAATGAACAGAAATAGGAATTAGAAAAGCATGGTTTCTTTGTTTGGAAAAAGAGAAATTGATTATGAATAAAAATATTTTCTCATGCCAGCCTCATTTTCATATGGGTCTTCAGGGATGGCGAGAGCGACCTGTTTTTGGGAAAATACGCTATATGAACTATGCTGGATGCAAAAGGAAGTTCGATGTTGATGGATACATTGCATACATCAAAAGGCTGGTGGGTGAAACTAAGAAGAGAAAGGCAGAAAGCCAGCACAGTCAAATGAAGAAACAGCTACGCCGTTAATTAACATCTGCGAAATTAGGTTCTAGGTTTTCCACTCCGCCGGAGTGTTCGTCCTGGAAGGAGTCTGATAATCCCAATGGAGGCATTGGTTTAGATTAGAATTAAATTCCACACCTATATCCAACTAACCCATGTATTTGGGATGACGTGCAAGCCATTGCCGTCCCCGTAATCGTTAAAACTTTTAACAAATCGTTGATCTCTACATATCATTGGTTGTACCAAAGATTTGTTCAAGGTGAACCTTAGCTGCATCAGAAATCTTTTCTCATCAGAGGTGGCTTTCATAAAAAATTCAGTTAAGGCTTTCACTATGTTCAAATTTCAGAACCCAGTGAGTTATTCCCCTACCAATTACACTAAATATTATACACCTGAATTTTCGTGGCTTCCGGCACTTCAGTTACAATACACAACCAGAAAGAGGAGCCAGGTAAAAATTGTGACGCTGATCACAAAGGGCATAGCCACTACAGTCAAGAGGCAGACATATTCCATTGAATGTTAAAAAATGGGTATTAATAAAATGACATATCTATGTTTACAAATCAGGATGGAGCTTCCTACCCCACCAGCTTTATATCTGCAGATCATCCAAGGAGAGTTCATGTGCTGTCAGCAGCTTCAGTTTCTGCAGATCATGACAATACCAAGTTAGCTTTCCAAGAATTCTGCAAAGTTGAATGAGAAAATCATAGGTGTTGGAAAAATTAATACCGTGATAAACTGGGGAGGATCATCTAGACTTGTTGAGCCTAACACAACTTCCCTGTTCAACTTTCCAGTAAGCTTGTGACACACTCTTAGCTGTACATGAAGAACATTTCGGGAGATCAAAGTATCAGAAACAGCAATCATCATAATCTCATGGTCTTGGAGACAGATCATAAAATTTTCATACCTCGGATCTTGTAGCTCCACCTACAATAAACACAAAAATGCGTTTGCCCATCTTCTTAAAATCACTGGACACCTGTCTTAGTACCGAATCACTGAGATAAAGTGGGAAAACAAACATTAAAATTGAAATAGCATAAAGGATAACAAAGCACAAGGATAATGCATGCCAGTTCTGACAATGGAATTGATCGATTAAAACAGTCATACATCATGGTTGATTGATACAGCACACGAGGAGAATGAATATAAAGGCAATTGCTAGGTATATGGTCAGGACCTTGAATACCCATCGTCTGAGCCCCGAGGCCGAGCCCACGTTGGTGTCCTCCTCGATCTCATGGAATGAGCAACTGGAGCTTCATGTATAGATGCAGCTTGAGATGTGCCATGGAAAGTCGGACTAGGATCATTCATGCAAGGATAATCATCCTTTGATAGTTCTCCTTTGCTAAGTTTTTCAACAAGCTCCTAAAATGGAAAACAATTTACATGTATTAGCAATCCATTCTGCCAAGAACTCTTATAATGATAGATGCAAACTTGCAATACTATCTTTTTACCTCTTGAATAAGTTGTTGCAAGATGTAGGAGTAACTATATAACAAGACAATTGCAATAATAATCACTCAGTGAAGCTTAGTTATTACCAATGAATTAATATAAAATCCTTCTCACAATAAGAGTGAATCCTATGCTTCATTTTACTCCCTAGAAGACCCAAAAAGTTGAAGAATAAGGAAAAAAAAGTGCAATATTAAATTGGTTTGAAATTCCATGTAGTACTGTTGTATCTTCTCAAGTATCCAACATCATGGTCATATTTAAAAACAATACAGGACTAAGAAAAAGATTATGGCACTGCTACCCTGGCTTATAATTGCCTTTTATCACATATATTTAATTGAAAACTAAAACTTTCTCCTTAACAAAATAATACAAACTATAAGCTAATGCAAACCTGAATCACTTCAAAATCAGCTCAATGATTTGTGTGTTAAAAAACAGATGCCATCAACAAAGAGTGACTCAGAGATCTCATTCTCTTAAGTTGAAGCTAAGGAAATTTTTAACAGCCTAAGGCAGTAACTTAGTAACTTACAACTAAATGCAGATTTAGTCAACTCTCTAATGGGCCGAGAAGGAGATAAGAAAACTGCTTAAAGATTTGGAAATACATGAAAAATAATAGACCTCCTAAAATAAAAAAAAACTTGGAATCAGCACTTAATTGAGTTGAGTTGAGATGTACTATTAGTTGTTATGCAATATTTTGGAGGTTTGGACTTGGTATAAAAGTAAATACAAAGAGAAGGTTCGATCATTCTCGCAAACAAAAACCAGCATACATAAAAAATGATAGTTTTCCCACCAATGCCTCCAAAACATGAACTTCCCCAAAAATATCAAATAATAGTACATCATTAATTGTTCAAAACAAGATATAACATCTACGTTATTCTAAAGGGCAGATATTATGCCAGTCACCAATATTAAAAAAAATGGTCCCTAAAGAACAAACCTAAGTCTAAACATACCTCTATTATAGGGTAAAAGCGTGATAATTGCCAGGTTTCTTGCTCACCACTACGATCTTTCCTAGCTGAGCGCTTCTTCTGGCAGATTCATGAGCAAAAGAGCAGAGAAAGAAGAAAAAGAACCCATGTTTATTAGCAAATAGCAACACCAGATCAACCATCATAAGCAGATTTTGAACTAGAAAAATATTTACCTTATGAATATCAAACTTCAAAGAAAAAGCCCCTGCTGAACTTTTTTTGGCATCTGATGATGGCGCAAGCAATCTCATATTATTCACAGCATTCATATCGTCAGGTGGTAATTTTGCTAACTGAAAGAAATTAAAGCATCAGTTTGGAGAAACATAATTAGAAACCTGCTTGAACTCAAATCCCTAAAGGAAAAGAACAGTGTTGTAATCCTGTAGGAGTAGGAAGGGAGGAAGGAAGGGAAGGGATGAAACAGAAAGGAAAAAACGAGATAAAATGCAGCAACCTTCATCAAATTAAGACCCTTCTCGCCCTCAAACTTCTCAGGGTAAATGGCTGCAAGAATCATTAACAAGCGCAACTTATTTTCACGAGATGCTTCCTGCAAAAAGTGGTATTTATAGTTTTTAGAAACATTGACAAAGTAGAATATATCCATTTATACTAGTGAAATTTCTTACCTCATTTGTAGTCAAAAATTTAATTACATCCTTCATTCCTAAATCACCAAAAACAAGGTCTTGCTCCAGTTGCCCAAGCTCTCGAAGCCCTTGATCCCTGATCATTCTGTTGATTTTTTCAGCAATCTGCAATTATAAAACCAAATCTGCATGAAGTAATGGAGCCTATAATATATCTTTGATAATCAGGTACATTTCTTTCAGCTATCAAATATCATAGTTCATACATCTGAAATTGGATATTTAACACATGAAGATTGAAACATTAACCTCCATCTTATTTAGGCAAACATTGGCTGCTTTTAGACATGAATGTAAGGTAAATTATAAGTTAAGTGTCTATTCATGTCAACAGAAAGAGATAGTATCAGTCTGATAAAACATGCAGAGCTTGAACAAAAAAAAAAATTGAAGATTCCCATGAATCATCCAAACATTTAAAATGTTTGCTTCACTTATTATGATTTAATGAAAATTGGATATCAGACTGAGGAAATATAATATAATAGTAATAATGGTGCTACAAAGCTAAGCATAAGTATCAAAAAGTAGCATCTAGAAATTAAATGAAAGTATGGCAAAGAATCTGATCATTCAAAGGAATAAAAAAGGCCGGTACCATAGAGAAGAATAACAAAAATAGATAGCTTCTTCTCTTTGCAACAGGGGGTTGAAGATGGAAATCTGTGGCAAATAATTTCATGCTTTAACACAGACAAGAGGCTAACCTCTACGTGAAGGGAGAGCTTGTCAATTTGTTCACTGTATTGTGGCAATGCTTGAACCATTTTTTGCAACTCCCTTGTTGAAAGTTCACCGCCATCTCTACAAATATGTTGAATTTTAAGGTGAGAGAAGGGATTGGTGACATAGTTAAAAATCCAAATACATTCACTAGGCACAACATATATAGCTTCATCATATGTAAAATATTTCACTCAATCTTTCAGCAGTTGCATTTCAGTATCAGTAACTACTTGGCAATTCCATAATTAAATAATGAATCACAGAACCATATGATAAAGTTTCAAAATCAGTTGAAATAATTTTCTACAAAATGGATCAAATGATGAATAACTTTTTCATTTTAACAACATTGATGAAACAATCAGAAGGTGCAAGGTGAGAAGACCGTATATTCCCTAGAACTTTCATGCATATCATGAATAAAGTAAAGTAAAAACAACATTTACACCAACCTTGAACCATGTTGAAGTTGTGCAGCTTTATTCTTTGATACGAAATTGGTCATCTTATCATGCAACCGTACACTAGCCTAAGAATACACCCAAGGGTCAATTAGCATTCAATACTAATTGCTATTTTGCTCAGATTCAGGAGTACTGGACATGGGTATGGGTCTGACATAGATGCATTCAATTTTGTTGAATTTTTTCCTTATATTTGGCAGTCAAGACCTCATATCCACATCCAATTTGACATGTCTGATAAGAGTCCAACATGGGTAAGGGAAATGAAGATTCAGAACAACATAGAATTACTTCTGTGTATAAAAGGTATAAAAGCACCATACTTACATCTGCTATATGTGCATGGCGAAGCTCCAACCATATTGGATCATGCTCCTCCAAAAGAACCTCCTTTTTCTCAGGAGGGTCTCCTGTTTTGCTTGGAACCTATACAGTATATTTGCTTAATATACAAAAAAAAAATTGCAGTGAATTCAAGAGAACACAAATAATCTAACGACGGAACATACCTCATGCACATATTTATTCCCCTCCATATTCAGTAAATCATGGCACATGGCATCGTAAGTCCACTCATGTATGACAGGAGCAATCTAGATATGTAATTTATCCATTTATCGTAAGCAAATTGGACAAGTATGCAATGCACATTTCATTAGCTTACAACCAACATTAACATGCAAACCTGATCTATAGATCTATCGAGAATGAGCAACTCGCATGTTTCCTTCTGAGGGAAGTTAGGATTTGATTTATATTTCATAAGACAATTCCAGATTCCAGCTGCAAGCTTGGTAGGAATTAGATCACGGAAAGTAGTCATGGTCATTGGATCAAGAGACCTGGCAGCCCGGTAGCGCACCAAAGGAAACTCCTGACAAATAAACACATCTCAGAAACTTTTCAATACATTAAAGAATAAAGATTCAAAAACCGTGGCATATACCCTTAATGAAGCAAAAACTGTAGCAATGC